TAAGTCAATATAATGAGATAACTAAGTCAATATAATGAGATATTAAGTCAATATAATGAGATAACTAAGTCAATATAATGAGATAACTAAGTCAATATAATGAGATAACTAAGTCAATATAATGAGATATTAAGTCAATATAATGAGATAGCTAAGTCAATATAATGAGATACTAAGTCAATATAATGAGATAACTAAGTCAATATAATGAGATAGCTAAGTCAATATAATGAGATAGTAAGTCAATATAATGAGATAACTAAGTCAATATAATGATATATAAGTCAATATAATGAGTTAACTAAGTCAATAATGAGATAGTAAGTCAATATAATGAGATAACTAACTCAATATAATGAGATAACTAAGTCATTATAATGACTTACAGGGTTTTTTGTTGTTTTTTCTGTGGCGCAAACAGGCTTCCATAGGAATCAAATAGGAATTTCCCCCAATGTGACACCAAAAGTTCCTCAATGCATCCACAGCTCTTAATTTCAGTATCTTTGAGGGCCTCCTTCACATGTCCAAGGTTAAGGACAAGCTAGCCAACAAGCAGCTTGTTCTCTGAACACTGTTAAAAGTGTAAAATATAAACTCAAAATAAAGAGTTAGATTTGAACACTTTGGGTGTCAAAATATACTCTTTATACACTGGGGCCCTACTGCTAAAACAAATGAAAGGAACACTTTGAAAGCACATCAGATCTCAATGGGAAAAGAAATGATGCTGGATATCTACTGATTCGGACTGGGCAATGTGTTAGGAACAAAAGAATGCCACATCATTTGATGGAAATTATCAACCTACAGAGGGCTGAATTCAATGACACCCCGAAAATCAAAGTGGAAAAATTATGCGAACTTATGAGACGACGGATGGTGTCCTGGGGCATCACTGAGCACAGTCTGAGGTGCAACCTGGCAGGCATCGGATGGACCGAAACATAATGTCCCAGAGGTGTTCTATTAGAATTAGGTCAGGCGAGCGTGGGGTACAGTCGATGGTATCAATTCCTTCATCCTCCTGGAACTGCCTGCATACTCTCGCAAAATGAGGCCGTGCATTGTAGTGATACACGGTCAATCGAGGTTTGGTGGTTGTGGGAACATAAGTAATTATTTTCAAAATATTAGCAATATATATGTTAATAGAAACATAGCTATAATAATTAGCTTTTATTTTATGAAAATCTCATATTTTTTTCTAGATGTTATCCTTTTATAGCAGACTGTAGCGGATCATTACAGATACAATCCATCTGCAGTACAGCAGGCGATGGCTCTGATAATATACATTCATATCTTAATTGCCCAGACAAATTGGGTTAGTGTTACCTCTTGTTAGTCAATTTCTGCCTCAGTGCTGACTTTTCCCCCCCAAAATATTGCAGACTTATGAGGATTAGCTTAATGTAAATCGGTTTTAAATCTAATTATGGGCAGTAGTTTGGTTAAATTATCTGCTGTGTGATTTAACTTTGCTGTGGATTAGGTCAGAAGAGATAATTTTCACCTTATCACTTTATCTCGGTAAGATCTATTATAAAAGGGACTCAGCTACTTGCATAGCAGAAATCATAGATACTGTATGACAGCTGGGGCCGTTCTCACACTGAAACGATGCACAGGAATATTTTAGACAACTGTGTGCTTCAATTTTGTCTCAACATCTGGGTGTGTACCTTGGGAACTTGACTAGATAAATGTTATGAAAACTATTATGAAATCAAACTGTGTATAAGAAATTCTCAAAAAATAAATACAATACACATGAGATAAGAATATGAAACATTAGGCTATGGATACAAATTTAAAAAAGAATATGTGTCATTCACATTGGGAGTGCTAGGGAGATGTCCCCACCACTTTCTTTTAATGATCATTTCTTAACAATGATCTGAAAATAGCTGCATTAGCTATCAAAAAAAGTAAAGTAAGCTCAAAAGAATTTCCCCCTTAGCCTACCGGTTCTAAAATGACCCAAACACTTGCATTTGTTATGTCAGGTTGGCAATTTTGAATGTGCATCAGGAAGAATGTAAACAAAAAAAATCCAAACTCTAGGCGGATGATACGGCTGGGCATGCGAGCCCCAAGCATCTATAATGATACTAAAGAGTCCTGCAGCACTCCACCCCATAGAGCAGGAGCCAACCCGTGGAGCCTCTGGCCACATGGTCCTGTTCAGGGTTAGCCTGGGTTTTACTCTCATCAGCCAGGAGCATGCTGGAAAGTGGAATGGCCTGAGGTCCCAGCTGGGTTAGCAGATCTCTCCTCCCGCCCTCCATGGTTTTGGCCTGGCGTGTGACAGGGTGGCCGGTGATCTGTTCTTCCAATCAGCACACTTCCTTCTCTGACGTTGAAGAGTATGTTGTCATAGACCATATGTGCTCCAGTATATGAGCTATGCCATGTCTGCATATGGGTGGTGCAGCTGTGAGGCCAAACTTCAAAAACACATGGATTATCTTTACAACAACTGTTGTTCCTTACTTAAAGAAAAGGTATGTTTCTGAGATCTTAAACCTGATGTGAATACTCAACTATGGATGGAATGAAATTATTTAATGCACACATTTCAAGCAAATTGAGAAAAATAAGTTAAAATCAGATTAGTCATCATTTGTTAATAAAAATGGACCTAGGTTTAGGTAGCTGTGTTTTAATTTCCAACAGATCCTCTACACTGGTTTTAGACCTACATAGTTTCTTCAGTGCCTTTATTTTACAAAGAAAGAGTTAGGATATACACACCACAAGCACAAACATTGGCATCATAGTTGGGTTTGATTCAGTCCAGCCAAAATGTAGATTATAATTAAGACTCACTGTAACACATCATACCACAGAGGGGCTTTTAATCCAGCCTTGTAAAAGACAGTTAATCGGCTGCAGCATTTAGAAAATAATTTACAATGCTGTGATCACCTTCTCATTCAATCAGTCTTAAGGATCCGAACTGTGAAGGATGTTCACTACCTGGACCGAATAGAGCAGAAAAGAGGAACCCGATTGGTCAGCCCATGTTGTGGCGGTTTCCATAACCTCTGCGGTGACTTTCTTTGTAATCATCCCAGTCTCTGGTTTTCAGCCGTGACTCCTCATCATCATTTTCAGCCTTTTTCTCTTTATCTTCTTCTTCTCTCTCCTTCGCATCAGTGTCCTCCTCCGTATCAACCCTCCTGGGTATCCCCTGGTCGGGGAGACCCCCTCGTTTCTTGTGCTGATCATACCACTCATCCACTGACATGGTGGCGAGGCTGGGGTAACCTGCCCCGAACACCTTAGCCTGGGAATGGAACAAACACATGGAATCACACAATGTTGCAGAGCACGTTAATGGAACTACAACATGAAGTTGGCACCTTCATTTTTCACTTCAGTTCCCTCCCTGCTTCCCTTTGGACAATTCTGCTTTTCCTAGTAGCTACTAACTTATTAGATCAATAAGTCAACCAATGGAGTTTATCCCTCACTTGTAATTGTGTCTAGTAACCATGCCACCGGCCATTATTCAAGACCAGGCTTTTAGTTGTTCAAATTAAAATACATTATTATGCTTACAATATAATAGTTGCATTGACATTGTAACCACAATTCATTGTCAACAAAATGTTCATGATTGTGCAGCCCTACCTGTGTAAGAGCAGACCAACAGATAAAAGGCACAACACTGATCCGCACACTGTGTTACAAGCTCACAGCAATTTTCATTTTGCAACACATGTCCCTTAAGAAGAACTCTGTTGGATGGAAAGGTTGCAAAATTAAACTCCCTAGGAGCTTTAATGCAATAAGCAGATTTTCTTTGTCTTTTTCATTATAGTTTTGAAGATACTGAGAGTGTGTTCCACTGTGGACAAACTATGCGATAGTGAAGCAGGGCTCCCTGGATCAGGAGCCCTCTGCTAACATCTCTGAAATGACTTCAAACCAAGTCTAGCATTTCTGTCCAGCAAATTCTTGTTACCTGCAGACAGACATGCACTTTGATAATTTAGCATTAAGCCTATATTGGTTTGACAGATTTCAGACAAGCTAATGTATCGTTCTAGCTGTCTGTTATTTGCTACTTCTGCATTCCCCAGCAGCTTTTCTCTCTAGTTTTTTCAGTGAATACCTAGTTGAGTACCCACACAACAGCCTCTCATACACAGTCTCACCTGAACCATGTCCTTGGTGATTATGAAAGGCTTCATGGGGGGCCTGGCAGGCTGAGCTGGCTGCTTGGCAGCACCCTGCTTCAGACCATCCATCTTCTGGAGTATCTCCACCTCCTGGTCAATGCTCTCTATTTCCTCCAGACACACAGTGACCCATCTCTGAACGTTAAGAAGGTAAAAATCTCTGGTGACTTCATCGTCGGCCTGTCCGCTGTCCACAGCTCTGCGTACATCCGTCAGTCTGGCTTCCAGATCCTTCCTCTGACGGTAGCGCTCGATCTTAGCTTGTCTCCGTACTGCCATGGAAACAAGGTCTGGCTGGCAAGGGACAGACTGGAACAAGAACCACACTTTACAATTCAGAACTTACTCATTTTCCAACTGTGCAATTACTCCTTTCCACTGCATTGTTCAGCTTGACTAGGAAGTACCTTAAGTACCAGGTACTTTCTCTTTTCCATAGAGGATAGTAAAGAATATGTATGAGTACCAGGTAGAAGCCGCAACTTTCGCCAATGGAAAACCAACAAGGACAAAGTCAAGTCGATCCGGAAATTATGCAAATACGAAACTTTTTATAAATTAATTTAGAATAAAGCACAGTGCTGCTAACCCCTCAGTTTATACTTACACTTTAAACTGGGACACACCCAGATCCAATGGTATATTTGAACTTGAACACACACACACACGTATGTAAAACGCTATTTACTGTCATTAAAGCTAGTGTACGTATATAAGCAACTTAACATTACCAGAGCCGCAGGGGATTCGTTTTCTGATGCTTCGCAAGGACTTGAGTTTTCATTCGCAGTCGGAAGTTCAAACCGTGACAGATTATACTCATGGCATCTCTTCAAGAAATCCATAAAGTAGTTGCGGGCTGTTTGGACTATCTCCAGCCGTCGGTCCCGGCCGCTCTGCTTCAGGCTGAGCGCCCCGCATAGCGCGGGCAGCAGCAGGTACCTCAGGTCGGCCGTGGCCACCTCCTCCAGCTCCTCATTGCAGCTGAACAAGTCGAGCTGAGCCACCATTGTAGACGCCTCTTCCAACATACCGATACCGCGTTTAACTCGAACCTGGATACTAGAAGAGGCAAGCGGTTCATTTGTACTATCTACCTCATCAAATATCTTCCAGCCCCGCTCTAAGAGATCACATAGTTTAGAAGGTTCTGCGGTGGAAGCATCGTTGTTGTTTTCAGAGTCCGCCATCTTGTCTCTTACTCCAGCTCTCTTCTTCGATTATTTTCTTCAGTGTTTTAGCAAATACTGCCCACCATCGGCCAAACCTTCGAACAACCTGGAAGCTCCAACTACATCTTCTCTCAAACAACAGAGGTGGGAAGTAAAACTACATCACTCAAGTACTGTAATTAAGTACCCCACTACAATTCAGAGGTAAATGGTGTAATTTGACTCCACTACATTTATTTAATAGCTTTAGTTACTTTACAGATATGGATGAATGATGTGAAATACAATCAAGTCTTAAATCAGACTATAGTTCCACCTGGAGTAAATTCACAAGCTACCCTGCAGTATACAAAGTCATTCAAACTAGCTGTACCTTTACCAGCTTTGATAACACTTTAAAGATCAATCATTATAAAACATATCATTCTGAAATCGACCAATCAATTATTACACGTACTTCTAATTTAAAAAAAATTAGAAGTACGTGTAATAATTTTACTGTACAACATCTGAGTACTTCTCCTACCCCTGTTTAACAATATAATATGTCAAATATACTTCAGCAGAATATTCATAGTAGTCATAGTAGACTAAAATAATGCATTACAAAGAAGCCATCAGATCAGTGGTGGTCACAGAAGTCAGCATAGTGTTGTTGAAATATTTAAATCATAGATATTATGATTATTAGCTCCAGTCATAAGATTTGCATTGCCATTTCTACACTGTAGCTTTCGTGCATATGACATTAAAACTAGAGATGTCCCGATCCGATCACGTGATCGGGGATCGGAGCCGATCACGTGATTTTCAAAAGATCGGAATTGGGAGAAAAAAATCGGGGATCGGGATCTTTTTTTTTTTAAATACTTTTTTTAAATTTTGTATTCAATGTTACAAAACAAAAATGACCATGTTCAAGTCTTAAAGTCATCCTGAGGGCCTTAGTTTTGGTTTCAAATTACACAACATCATGTATGTGTTGCTTCTTTGGGGCTTGTTTTCATAGACCTGGTTTCTTATTTCTCTCAAATCTGGCAACAGAGTGGGCAGGGCGCAGTGTCTAATTGTAGCAGTAAGCTAACGAGTACTGATAAGCTTTATTTTGTTTTGATCCAATGCTGCACAACTGAACTGATCCAATACTGCTGTGAAAAAAAGAAGCTATATCCATGTTGGATAGAATATCCAATTTAAATGAAAAAATAACCTTAAGGGACAACTTGAATGTTTTTTTCTCTTAATGCATTGCATAAAGATCAGATCGGGAAAAATCGGTATCGGCAAATTGTCAAAATCAAATGATCGGAATCGGATCGGGAGCAAAAAAAGGTGATCGGGACATCCCTAATTAAAACCTTTGAATCTTTTAAGCTTGAATCTTGAATTATACTATATGTCATTGATAATAAATACAATAATATGTCTTGCCAGGAGATATGGTTCCTTTGTGTGCTTTTGGTCAAATGCTCAGTATAATTCTACCACAAATTAAAAGAAAGAAGAACAGGCAAACACCGAGTCAGTTAAGGCACTTTAATATTAGAAAAAATCACCTCAAGTAACCACAAACATTCAAAGCACTTTGTTTTACACAACATGGTTTGTACTTCTGGGTATCCTTTTGAATGAGTTTGTCTACAATCCCACTCCCAGTGAAGGCTGTTCTTGCTTCATCTTAAGTGACAACATTAAGAGAAAGTAGTTAAGTTGCCATCTGTACCTTTTTCCATTTTAACAGTTCACTATATACCTATTACAGCTGAAAAGAAAATATGTGAACAAGATTTATAGTGTACTCTTAGTAGATTTTTCCACTCAACCGTTTTCTCCTCCAAACTGCTATTTCTTAGTTGGCTATTTGAAGATGAATTGGGTTGGGGGTACACTTTATAAAACTCTCATCCCTTAACCTACTTTCAACTACTGGATTACAAAATGGTTCATAGCTAACCCTGAGTGTTTGATTTAAAAAACATAGAAAGGGCAATTTCAATTAATTGTGTATCCACCAGGTGGTGGTCGTTTATTTGATATATAGATAGGTAGATAGATGGTCTTTTCCCCCCAAACAGATATTCCTTTAGCTCAGGTCATTGCATCCTTTAACTTGTTATAAACTGACCACCACTGAGTGGGATTACTAATGAATGCAGACTGCCTTAAGAGTTATACAAATCACTTTACAAATAATGACTTTATTATTAGTTCTTTCTTCAGGACATGTCATCCTACAGCCCAGTAACGGGGCACTTTAAGGCACAAAAATAAATATTGAGAGTGAAGTTGCCCGCAATAAATACCTTTGTTTCTGAGTTTCAATGGGTTCATGCGATTAACAAGTGCTTCTACTTATAAGGGAACACTTTAAATGTGTTGATTCTTTCTAAATAAAAAGCTTTTTGATGAGTTGATACTAAGTATGTGTACTACCACAGAAAATAGTCACAATTGAACCTTCATTTATTACCATCCTAGGACTAGAGCTGTCTAAGATGTTACCAAAATTACAGATTTTCAGAATGCTAAGAACCCTCTGATAACGGCTCCCATAGGAAGTTCATAAATATAAGAAGCAGACAGATTTGTGCCCAGTAGGACCTGGACTGAAAGACACCAGCTTTTGGCACAGTGTAGAATGCATACTGGTTGTTGCTCTGTTGTTGGCAAGTTAATTGCTTGGTGAGTCTTTGAAGGCACAGTGTGTATGTGTGTGTTGACACACACACTTGTGGCTCAACAGATGACAGAAAAGCCATTGGTTAGCCAGCAGAAAAGGGGCATTTCCATGGACAGTACTCTGCTTGTTGACAGCATTTTGGGGAACTCCCTGTTCACACTTGCTTTAAAGTTGGAGGCATTGTTGAGCTCTAAGTCATCAGGAAGCTGCATAAAAAAACAAGATGAGGTTAGTCAACAGGACAAATGGTAGGACGCCAGCCAATAGCTGCAGCTAAAACAACACCAACAGTTAAAGTGTCTCTGTCTTTACCTGTATGGATATCCATGGTACTTTGCTCTGAATATGGACAACAACCAGCTGAAGAACAGCATCACCAGACCAATACCTGCTACACACATGACTGACACACACCGAACACACACACACACACACGTTTGAATACAATCACAGACTTCAGTTGGTCAGAGAAGCATCAATGACATAATGTGCATTTGAAATTAAACTAGTGGACATTTGTAATATTTAGTGTAGTATGTACAACATCTTGTAAGGTCCCTTGATGGAATCTGAATGGAATCTCAGAGGGCAGATCTCTGCCAAGGCCAAATGCCCTCTCTTGCAATATTACACAAACCAGGGTTCATACACTTTTTCACCAATGATTTTCAATGACTTTTCCAGGACTTCTCCATGACCTTTACCTAATTTTCCATGACCAAAAAAATTACTCCTTCTCAGCGGTACCACTGAAAATTGTTTATTTTAACATGGAACAGGAAAATAAGGTCTGCATCTGAAACATGGTGTGCCTATCTAAAACAAATCAAATAGGCTTACTAGCTCCTACAGGCTAAAGAAACTAAAATCTCTCACCAGCAAAATACCTCTTCAGTTAAATGCCATTTTACGTTTCATTACGATACAGTATTTATTATCATTAAAGTATTACTATTTCGCCGATTAGATAAAATATAAATTATATTTGATGCAACTTTAGTTAAATTTCCATGACTTTTCCAAAACTTTGGGAGAAATATTGTTTTCCATAACTTTTCCAGGGCCTGGAATTAGCATTTTGAATTTCCATGACTTTTCGAGGTTTTTAATGACCATAAGAACCCTGACAAACAAATGTGTATCTGTCCTGTGATTCTGATCCGGTCCAAAATGTGGAGGGTGTTTGGATTCCTCTTGGCCTATGCCATACCTTTCCTTTCAGTTTAGAAAGATGGGGCCATCACTTATTCAGAAATACTGGTGAAAAAAAGACAAACAATGGGAACAGAAACACATCATAATCTTTGTGGGTCTGTGTGCACATACTCTTCCTCTTTCCAATGTCCATGTCAGAGGTGGCGGCCTCACACAGCAGCACCATTCCCATGGTAACAGCAGCATCTGACAGTTTGGTCAAGGTTTAAAATACAACTGCATGTTGGGCATAACATTAGTCTACTCAAACAACCCTAATAACCATATTAAATATAAATAATAATAATCATAATAATAATATTATTGGGAAATAATGAAAGGCTTTAAAAAACAACAAAAGAGACAACAAAGTTAAAGGGGTGAGAAAAAATGCAAAGGGGTCAAGGCTGTCATTTTGGGTTTGAATCGCAAAGGATTAGTTTGTGGGGGGTCTGGCTCAGTATTAGTGTATGATGAGTGTAACACAGTTAGAGAGGGATACTGAAGAGGAGGATGATGTGAGTCTCAGCCACAAACTGGGCCTGACTACTTCCATGGATGTAGCTCTGAAAATAAACACAGTTAGATCCTGTTTGGATGGTTTGTTCACATATCATAAAGAAAGGTTTTTTTCTTACCACTTGCCCTGTGCTGGGGTTCTTGTGTGCATAAGGCGGACCTCTGATGTGGTTCCACATCTGGCCCGAGGTCATGATCAGGACAAAGCACTGAAATACACAAAAACACAGCACAAATAATCCATCCGTCTGCAGAAACAGCAGCATGCCCCCATCCCTGCAGCAGCAGCTCCTCACAGAGGGGATAGGAGAAGTCACTGAGCAAAACAGAAACATTGGCGACTGCCATCAGCACCTGTCACCTTATCTGCCGATGTGCCCATGGTGGTAAACGGCTAACATCGGACGATACCGATTCCTTGGCGTAGCTTTGATTACTCACACGCCTTGCACTTGTTACCATATCCTTCTGGTTGGTTCAGTTTTTGTTTCAATACATCTAATCTGCGAGGGCTGGCTGTACATTCCTCAAGTTGAATCTAAATCCATCTATTTATTACAATGTTGATCTATTCCGTAAACACCTGTATTTACTGTTGGACCTCCCTCTGTAAGAGCCGTTTTCCCAGCCACTGGGTAGAAGGCTAATGTTGGCAAGACATTAAGTATATTCTTTGAATTTTATTTCAATTAAAACCACCGACTTTCCATAGTTTTGCATATATAGATGTTTGTTATTGTTTATGACAGAGATGAATACTGTGAAGCATGTTACAGGGGCCTGTCGAGCACAGCTAAATGGCTTTACGCCAGTAAGACCGGGGAGTCCGGAAACATGGATGAGTATATGTTTTTGACTGCGTTAACGTGTATTTAAATAACTTAATACAGTGTTATAGTTTTTGTATCATCAAGTCGGTAGTGGACTGTGTAAGATTCAATGTGGATTTGGACGCTGTCTTTGTTTTTCTTTAGTTGGTGTTTGCAACGTTTGGGGAATGAACAAATATAGCTAACATCTGAAAATAACCTAAATAATAAACAGTATTAAAACATGGAGAATATAGCAACTGTAAAGAACAGCATTTGGGAATGTGCAGAACCTGAAGTCTAAAATATACCCTTTTTCAACTTGAGGAATAGATTCACCAAAATGTTCTGCTTTATCAAGATTCTCTAACTCTCTGACGAGACCATTTCACTTTCTTCACATCTTGACAGAGTATTATCACCAATAGGTCATCAGTGTGTGCGTGGTTACCAGTGCAGAGAAGGCCCACACATTCTTGTTAAAGAGAAACTCCAAATTGTGTCTTCGCAGGTATGCCAGTCCTCCAATCACAGCCAGGAGGAAACCCAGCAGGAGAGGCCCTGCGTAGTTGGGAGGGCGAATGACGCGGATCTAAGAAACAGATAAACATGTGTGATTGATAAACTCAAGTTTTGGTTATATCGTCATGGTAAACATACTGAAATGATGATGAATGTTTTGCCATTACCTGCACATCAGTCCTGTCTGCCACCCATCTGGCCAGCTGCTCAGCTGCAAAGCCTCTGACCTGCAGCTCATAGGTATCAGACTTGCGAGGTTTTCCTTTGGATGGGAAGTGGAGGAAGGTCGGAGCAGAATTCATACCGAGCTGCAACACAAACACAAAGGCAGAACAGTGGAACAGTGAGGTACATTACAAACACATTGCATTACTTTATTAATCTCCATGCACTTAAACTAATAACACTCACACAACCTTTAAACCTTTGCAGTGCTAACCAAACTCTTGGATTTTAGAACTTGTATAAACCTAAACCAAAAACATCACACAAGCGCTGACTGTAGCTCAGGATCTGGGGCCTCATTTAGAAATGTTGCGTACGCTCTAAAGATGGTGTGCGCCAGTTTCTGAGCAAAGTTTGTGCAGAGACGCTGCACACACAGCTGACTGACAGGTAGAAAAAGGGTTTGTGAATAAAGTCCCATCTGTTTGGACATACATGTGCCAACCCAGCTTTTGGTATACTATCATTTCTAAGTGAAGAGCCATTACATTAACGGAGTCATCAGGTGCGAAACAAGGAATGACAGACCATTACAAAAAAACGATGTCTCACCATCTGAAAGACGTCGGATCCTTCATCAAAGTCTACGCATGCAAAGAAGACTTTGTTTGTAAATGCAGAGGAATAACGCCAAGAGTTAGCCAGCATCTGGAACTCCTCGTCAGCTTGTCTGAAATGAAAACATTGTTTAAATACACGGTTAAGAATACAAATAAAAGCATTGCCTCTCTCAAGGGCCCCCATGTCTTACTTGCAGACCCCACACTGCCTCTGTGGCTGCAGTGCTGTGAACATGATGACCACGGAATAGTTCCTGGGAGGAGCCTTCACAAAGCGACGGAATTTATCCCCATTCATCCTGATAACTGATCGCTTGGAGGTCCACTCCATCATCTGAGTCAACTTCTCTGACAGCAGAGTCTACACAGGACACAGACAACTCATAGTGTTAGACACTAAAACAAGAGAACACAAGAGAAAAGCCAAAAGCCATCCTGATACAACTCCATGCAGCATTTGGGATAAAGATATAGGGAACGTTATTACAAATGTATAAACTCTTAGGTTATATTCAAACAGTTACTCCTTCGCACTAGAACCATTTGGAGGCATGTTGGTTATGAAAATCATAAACTCACAACAAACAATCCATTAATAAAAAACAATTAAGCAGTGACATTGCATACAGGGGCGGCGCCAGGGGGTAGCTTGGAGTTGCTGTAGCAACTCCAACAATTGGCCTAGCAACGGCATTGTTTTGTTATGAAAATGTATCTAAATATATTTATACACATTCTCACGAGATCTTTCAGGGGTCGTTGTAAGTTAAAGCGCGAACTGTTACTTGGCTAATGTTGTAATAATTCTCAGTATGTGAACACAGATCGAAAATGGAAAGATTTCTCACAAGTCAGCGTAAACGATCTAGCCGGACAACCCTGCTATCTGTGTGTGTGTGTGTGTGTGTGTGTGTGTGATGAGGTTAAATGCCACATTATGCCAGTTGAAAGTGATGGATCGCTATTGTGTACTTGTACGCTTAGAAAAATAGAAAAACAAAAATATTGTAGGAGCACAGAAACAGTGTTCAAATTCTGCTTTTACAAACTTATTTTGGTTGTGCTTACCCTGCAAATTAATGTTATAAGTGTCAAAGGAATGTTTTAATGTAAATAATATTAATGATAATATTGTAGCGTATCCAAGTTAATAGTTATGTCAGTTATTATGGGGGTTATTCCCTATCTTTATTCAAGAGCGTGGTATTTAAATTTGAGAGCATACTTCATCGATTTCTTTCCCTCAAACCCTGTCCTCGCACTCAAATAGTGCCTGCTTGCACTTAGATTTGCTCTGCTTCAGCTCTAACTGTAGGCTTGCACTCAGATATATTGCTGCTTACAGATTTCCTGTTTTCCAGCTTAAAACCTTCTCCTCGCACTCAGGCTGTTTCTGTGCGCTCGTGAAATGTCTGCTCTCAGATTTCTTCTGTGCGCGCCCGGATCTTTTGTGCAACATCCCCGTCAAAATCCCTCAACCAATAGGAGGCCAGGTGTCCTTGCGGGTACATTCGCTTGACTTATTAGAGCGTCCCGTAAGGGCGGTTACTCTTTGGTCTATAAACTACCGCCCTCCACGGCTTTATAACATAACATGTACTTCACTTGTTTAATTTACAACTTTTGGGGGGGGGAAGCAAAGTTAGTATATATATATATATATATATATATATACCAGCATCTTACATAATAGCTACGTTCAGTGGCGGACTGGGCATAAAAATCAGCCCGGGAATAAAATAAAATAGTCCCTCCGTTGCCTTCTGCATAAAACATAGTGCGAGGTGGTTGCTATGCAACAACAATAACAGCTAGCGAAAATATTAGACAGACAGCATTGTCGTCGTTTAGGTGCTTTTTTTTCTGGAGATAGGCAATCCACTCCTCCATAGTAAGGCCACCCCGGATGTCTTTCTACATTTATGCTTAAACTTGCTTGAAAATTACAATTAAAAAAGTGAATGTAGGATTTGATATGTTTTACGAGACATAAGGGCAGGAATTCAGAGGGAAAGGAGCAATTTTGAGCTTTGCTCTTAAAAACGGCTTTTTTTTCATACGTCAAACGCGTCATATTACATAACAAAGGGGAAACATCTCCGCTGTCTGACCGTGGGTATAGTTAGTAGTTGCGTTGAGTTGAGCGGTTGTGTTTTAGTGAGCTGGTATTTTTTGGTAGTTTTACATTGTATTTCACCATTTGTAATCATGGTGCAGTATTGTGTTTGTGCAGGTTGCACAAATACCAGCATGTCAGGACATCGAGTCCACAGTAAAAAGGACCGGAGCTAGCGTTCGTTCCTGGGTGCGTTGTGCATCCACCTCCCTGCAGCACATACTCTCCACAGCTTTATCAGGAAACCGTATTACTTCTCTCTCCCCCCCTTCGCTGCTCTCTCTCTCTCCCCTCCGGTACACGGCACCGTAAGATGTAGTGTGGAGCAGAGTCCTGCACGGGTCTGATTTTCAAGACCCGCTCCCGCCCCGCACCCGCGACGTGCAATACCGAACCCGCCCCGCTACCCGCCATATTGCCAATTAGTTCCGCAACCCGACCCGACCCGCCGGCACAAGATCCGCAACCC